TGTCAATATCCCCAAGTTAGCACAGTAAAGGGAATGCTCATTAAAGATTAAACTAGACAAAAAGAAAGCTGGTCTCCACGTGGCTATGTCTAATGCAGAAGGCCTGGTTTTTTAAATAACGTCTTTGAGAGAGCATACTGGGAAATGACAGATCAGATGTATTACTTGTAGGACTGTGGAAGTAGCATGGGACTGGATGCATAGACAGGGCCTGAAATACTGCTGTAGCAATGGTCTAGTAGAGAAGTGATAAAGGCCTGCCACCTGGGCAGCGACACAAAGCTTGGATGTTAGAGACCTACTAAGATTCAGGATCAGCAGGATGGGGAATTATTTATATATGAAAAATTTCATGAGACAGAAGAATCACAGATTACCCCTGAATTTCTTGCTTATGCAGCTTCTTCTTTGGACCTTATTGTCTCCATGATTTCTTATCAATGACAGAGCACTGTATATGTAAAGCAGGCTTGCTCACAGTATGTTGACACCAGCAAGACAGAACATACACACAAGTGATGTGAATTTGTTCATTACAGACAGGCAGCAAAGATCAAAAGCAGCTACAATCCATTGTGAACTAGTCTTCTAAGACCCAAGAAAGCTCCTCAGGGTGCATGGAGTTCACATTCTTGTATGTAATCTGGCTACTGAGGAGGCTAAGGCAGGACAATCACGGGTTTCAGGCCAGTCTGGACTGTACAACAAGCTCCAAAGTAGCTAGAACATATAGTGAGACTCTGTCTCAAAAAATTAAGTATTCATACCACACTTAGACCACAGTAAAAGACCTCCAATTTTTTTAATCTTAAAAGTAATATGTCACTTACAAATGTTTGAAGTACATTGTGCTTGTAGGACAAAGGAACAAAGTATGGGCAGTTCCTCCCTAACTTCAGGTGTTGTGTTCCGTAGAAAGAACAGGAGCAAGGCTGGGGCTGGGGCTTTTTCAGTCTATTCCATCTTATCTCAGAATATTGCATTCCAAGCATATTCTGCAGCAATCTCAAAAGCTCCAAGCAAGAAACAGGAGAAGGTCGGGTTACTCCAAGGCCACCTGGAAAGCAGCTGTCTTGCAATAGAAGGTGGCCAGCCTTGAGCTGCCATGTGCCACTGGAGGCACCTTGGGCATACAGGTGCCCTGAATGATCAGGCATTCCATTAACCCAGGAAACTGAGGGAGCCTCATGACTCCAATTTCACAATGTGAAACCTGTTCGTTTTAATTAAGTGACATGTTTGGTCACAAGACAATACTGTCCAATTATTGCTGAGTGAAGCCAACTGTGTATGATTTTCCTGGGGATGAGCTTGCCTTGCTCTTTGAAAATTAAACCAGTCTGTTTCACAGTACCAGTTGGATTTATATCAATTTGAAGGGAGGTTTCTAGCAAATGCCACAATATCTTGCAATATCTTGTTCTGTTTTATTCAGTGCCTGGATGAAGGCATTGCCATAAGAAGGTGTGCTGAAGGTACCGGGGAATACAATCAGAATCCAGATGTGTTTTTGACAGATGTAGGCTTCCTTTAAAAGGAAGAAATTGAGCAAAGTCTCAAGCAACCTACATCCATCCGGGATGAGTATACCGGGGTTTAAAATTGCTCATCAGTTTCCTGGGTTAATGGAATGCCTGATATTTCAATGTACCTATATGCCAATGGTACCTGTAATGGCACAAATCAGCCCAAGGCTGGCCAGCAAGATAGCTCGTGGGTAAAGTCACTTACTGCCGAGTCTAATAACCTGAGTTTGATCCCTAGAGCCCATATGGTAGAAGGCTGGTGCCTCCTCCTGAAAATTGTCCTCTGACTTCTACACAGGCAGCATCGTGTGCATGCATTAGAGAATGGAATGAAAAACTAGAACAATTTTGTTTGTTGACATGGCCTCCCAAAGGGTCATTGTGATCATGAATCTTCACCTTACTTTTGAGAGAAGGTCTCTCACTAAACTCAGAGCTCATAGATTGAGCTAATCTGGCTGGCCAGTGAATTCCATGTTTCCACCTCCACAATTCTGAATTTACAGACATGCACCATATACCTGGCCTTTTACGTGGCTTCCGGGGGCCTGAACTCAGGTCCTTGTGTTAGCAAGGCAAGCATTTTCTCAAGTGAGCTCTCTTCCAAGACCCAAGTATATTATGTTTACTTGTTTTCCGCCTCCAGCATACAAGGTAACTCCAGAGGCCAATGAACACACCACCACATCTTCCTTTTCACCATGGGGGCATATGTTCAGGAGTATCAGGTGCTCCCAATTGAGCCCATCTAGGTCCCTGAGACTATTTTCCCTGGAGTAATGGAGCTATTAGCATAATCTCCAGTTTTTGCTACCTGAATCTATGTAGTTATGTATCAAGGTGAGAGAGAGAGAGAGAGAGAGAGAGAGAGAGAGAGAGAGAGAGAGAGAGAGAATACTACAGTTTGGAAATGGAGACTACTCCCACCACTCATGTTGTCATTTTATACAGATGACATTTGGTTCAGAGGAATATTGGATTATCCCACGTATAATGCAAGGGACTTTTAGAGTACTGTCTGTCTTAGTCACCCTTTGCTTCTTCTTTCCTCCTTTCATGTGTGAGTAGTGCTTATAAAACCATGATTCACACCTGAATCTTGGCAGTTGGCTCTAGGTGGTCTGAAAGGATAAGTTTGGGGCAAGGAAAGCCACAAGCTTGCACTAAGAATTGCCAGACAATGTCACTGTAGACTTAAACCAGCAAAACAAATTAGGGTGGAAGGGCTGTTAGCTATGCATGAAGGTGACTTCATTATGAGGTTTAACTATCCCCCGCTCATCCCCTGCCCAAGAGCCCCCATTACAATACATGCCTGCAAAAACTGATTAAAATTTTAATTCAAATGTGTCACTGGGTTAAATAAATTTCTTTTTTCCCAATAATCAGCCTAATTGCCACTAAAATCTTGCCTTGTGGTTTTCATAAAGGCTTCAAAAATGTGTCATGAATGAACAAAGGAATGAATGAAAAGCAAAACTAGCAATGTGAGGAGAGAGTCCATGGATATAGTGGTTATCTAAATTCCTAAAGGATGCTGAGAAACAGAAATTGATCCTCTTTCCGTAATGGGTCTTTTCAGAGATACATTTTAGTGGTATCAGCACAGTTATGTCCTAGAAAAGGTTCGGGAGATGAATGAAGATACTCAGCCCACTCTTCATCCCTACTCGTAGATTCCGTGACTGGTGGGTGATTGTTTATTCCATGAAAATGTATAAGGTGATTTTAAAAAAAGAAAGACAGAGAGAAAGAAAAAAGAAAGAAAGAAAGAAAGAAAGAAAGAAAGAAAGAAAGAAACCGTCCTGTGGTATTCCTAAGGCATTTGTGATATGATCAAGAGTTTTTCTGTGATGGCATGTCCCCAGCCCTGTCCTTCCTCTCACTTGGAATTGTTCCTTAAATGGGCAGTTGAAGGCCTGCTAAGACTCTGCTTTGGACAGGCACAAACACTAACATGCAAAGTTGGAACAGGGAGGACAACAGTTACATAAACAAAGGACGGTGTGTTCTAGAGAACAGTTTGAGTAGGGATACAAAGGAGTAGTTATAATTCAGTATGAAAAGAGTTTTAGACTAAGTATGGAAGTGCTTTGGTAACACGGGGCAAGAAGGAATGCCAGCAGTAGGCAGTAGACTTTGGTTTCTAAGGGCTGATGGTACTTGAAGTGGACTTGAAGGGTGAGTATCATCTCCTAGACAAAGAAGAAAGATTGTGCCAGGCAGATGAAGCCCAACATATGCCACATGACAGAAGACCCCCGAGTCTGAGTTGGGAGAAACCTTTCCTTGTTGAATGCTGAATAGGGCAGGTAGGTGAGAAGGTCCTCTATGGTTCCCTCTTAGAGAATATCCACAATTCCTTCAGATTTAAAGGACAAAAGCCAGAAAAGTTGCAAGCCATCCCCTGAGTTTCCTTTAAAAATTATGAATGCTCAGTATTTACTGTTGTATTTCTACCACAACGATATCTTTCCAACAATCTCATCCTTCATCTACTGTATGTGAATGACAATTCATGTCTCACAAAAAGCACAACTGTGGGGGAATTTCTCTCTTTGATTGTATCTAACCACATAGACCTTGATGTATCTGGGTTATGGGCCATGAGTGTATATGTAATGGATGCAGTAGTGTGCCGGTCACTAAGTTTAAAGTCTGCTGTTTGTGCAGACCCAAAAAAGCTTCCACAGTTGTTAGATTTGTTCATCTGTTCAGCGAACACAGAAAAAGGATATTTTGGAACTGACAGAGTTAACTTTCCTATCCTGGGAATGGTACTGTGTAAGCAAAGGTAGATGCTTGCCTGTATACCATGGGCAAATACATGCCCACTTTAGTCTGTGACTAAGTACTGTGTTTATTTCTGGAGGCCCTGGGGTGTTCTGCCTGTCTGAATATTCTATTTCTCTAAGAATGAGCTATAATATTCTGGCAATAGCCAAAAGAGAGAATATCATGTCAAAGAGTTTTGATGTACTTTTCTTTTTTTTTTTTTTTTTATAATTTCCAGATTAGATAAGTTTTTTTGGGGGGGAAAATGCTTGTGCATCATTCATAAGAAACATCAGAATTTTAACCCCCTTGTCAACTCCATTCCATAAGTCATTTGTTTCAATCGAGTCTCCATTTTGTGATTGCTTTAATAAGGATTTAGTGGGTTAGAGTATGAAATATATTGGTTGTATATGGGCCAATAGCATCATTGCGAAGAAAACAAAGGAGAGCAAAACACAACAAGGTTGTTATCCAGAGTCTAACTTTTTATGCCTGCTGTGGATACAGTGTCAGGAAATTGGACAAATTATTTAGCTATCTATCTGGTCAGGTTAGCTGGATAAGAAGAGGGGACCACAACATAGTTCACAGGACAAATGACACTAGATCTCTCATTCCTCTGTTGCATTCCTTAGTGACCATGAACAACACATATGCCACCACTTCTGACTGTTGGTCTTTGTGCTTTGTCCCTAGGAACTTCCACTATATTACCATCCTCCGAGACCCAGTGTCTCGGTACTTGAGTGAATGGAGGCATGTTCAGAGAGGGGCAACATGGAAAGCATCCCTGCACGTCTGTGATGGAAGGCCCCCAACTTCTGAAGAACTGCCCAGCTGCTACACAGGTGACGACTGGTCTGGCTGTCCTCTCAAAGAGTTCATGGACTGCCCCTATAATCTGGCCAACAACCGTCAAGTGCGCATGCTGTCTGACCTGACTCTAGTGGGCTGCTACAACCTCTCTGTCATGCCAGAAAAGCAAAGAAACAAGGTCCTTCTGGAAAGTGCCAAGTCCAATCTGAAGCACATGGCATTCTTTGGCCTCACCGAGTTTCAGCGCAAGACCCAGTACCTGTTTGAGAAGACCTTCAACATGAACTTTATTTCGCCGTTTACCCAATACAACACCACTAGGGCCTCTAGCGTAGAGATCAATGAGGAAATCCAAAAGCGTATTGAGGGACTGAATTTTCTGGATATGGAGTTATACAGCTATGCGAAAGACCTCTTTCTGCAAAGGTATCAGTTTATGAGGCAGAAAGAGCATCAGGATGCCAGGCGGAAGCGTCAGGAGCAACGCAAGTTTCTGAAGGGAAGATTCCTTCAGACCCATTTCCTGAGTCAGAGTCAGGGCCAGAACCAGAGTCCAGGGCAGAATCTGAGTCAGAGTCCAAATTCCAACCCAAATCAGAATCTGACTCAGAATGTGAGTCAGAACCTGACTCAGAGTTCCAAACCCAATTTGATCCAGAAGGAGAACCGAGGAAGTCAGAAGCAGGGCTCAGGCCAGGAGCAGAGTGATAGCACAAGCAATGGCACCAACGACTACATAGGCAGCGTAGAGACATGGCGCTAAAGGCTCTCAAAGGTTTGTGCACACTGCTTCCCAAAGCACCACCAAAAAGATGGCGTGTATCTTACAAGATGAAAATGTCCAAACACATCCTGCTTCCTTCATTTTGGAAGTTCAAACAAAAAGTGTAGATGTTGCCTTTACAGTTGCCTTTTGGTTCAGTGTTACACTGTGTGTGGCTAAAACAAATCTCAGTGTGTAATTAAATTGTCGTTTTTTGGGATGAACTATTTCTGCAATCCAAGAGCCAAACCAGACTCACCAGAAATTGCAGTTTAGATATTTTAGGAAGTTCTTAAATTAGCTATGGAGACACAAAGAAAACACAAAATGTGGCCATTTAAACTTAGGGCTAAGAAAGAAATTTTAAATGATTCCGGATACTCTGTTAAAACCCAATCTTGAGGGCACCCCCAACCCCGCCTGCCAGAGGGAAGCATAAGTAAAACCATGAGCAGACTAAAAGACACTCAAACCTTTCATTTCCTGCTTGTTTTAACAAGGAGTCTATTTAAACACAAAAACAACAGATGAGAAATTTTGCCAAACTGTAGAAAGTAAACAATTTCTCACTTAAATGTAGGTGGGTTTATGTAAAAATATGGCTTTTCAAATAGATTGGGATTCATGTCTTGTAATTTAACAGATGTTTAAAATTTTAAATTTTTCTACCTTCTGCTGATTAAAAGGTTTTAAACAGGGTATATCTCATATTAACAAAGCATTTTTTTTTCCAAATGGAATACCAATGGAAAGATCCAGTTTCCAGATGGTTTCAGGGCACTGTAATTTCAACAATTTCAATCTTTTTGGCGCTGCTTCTCATTCACTTTAAGGCTTCTTCGAGTTGTGCTCATTCCAAATGAATCCATGTGTAGAATTTTACTTCATCATGTAAATGGTTTGTTGCTGAATCTCTTGTGGTATTTAATCCTGGATTAAAGTCAGGACTTTCTATAGAATTGTCTTATCAATGTCTGTGTAGTAAGGTCCTTAACAAGAAACTATCAAACAGGACAACGTGTCTTTAAATATTGCTACTATTGCTGAATTTATTATTCTTGACCAGATTGAACCTGAATGTGAACTGTTTATTATTTTGTTTCTTGTAATGTTTCCAGTTTGGCTGGCTATTTCTGGCCCATGATTCTTGTGTGTGCGTGTGGAAAGATTTGTACACAATAACAAGAGCAAAGACAATGGTACTAAGCATTAAGATAGCCAGAGTTATCCAGTAACACCAAAAGCTGCCCCTTGATACTTGCAGTTAACACTTTTACCAGATTTTTGTGAAAGATCAAAGGGGAAGAATGTTCTGCAGTGAACCTAAGTTTCGGGGACATGCAAGTTGAGAATGGTTTGGGAGTGTAAGTCTGCGTAATTACACATTGATGGCATCAACTGAAAATTGAACAAAGGAAGAATTATGTACCCACTACGTGGTTAAACATCATTCTGCTTGGCAGTCTCCACTTCATGGTTGATGCTACACTTCTATAAGAACTTACATTAATCCCTTGGCTTTCCATCAAACAAGGTGACTAGAAGTGGTGTTTGTTTTCAAGACGAACATGCTTAGAAGTATGATAATAAAGTCAAAGCTAGCACAGTCTGCCCAAATGCATGACCTGCTTTCATCTATAAGAATATGGTCACAAGTTGGACAAGAAGCTGAGTATCTGGGTCTAAAGCAATGTTTTTTTTTTTTTTTTTTTTTTTTTTTTTAACTCTGAGCTCTGTAATGGTATTTACAGCTGTTGTTTGTGGTATTGCAGTGTTGAGAATTATGATACCTATAAAAAAACTGGAAGGAATTTTTAAAAGCACATCTTGAAGTCAAAGTGATTTAGAATAAACCTATTTGGTGTACATTGTGTTCTTAAAATATTCTGTAGGTCACTTTGGTATTTCAGCTTCTTTAGTTTTAATTGAAAATGTTTGCTCTTAAAACTGACAGTGTTGGAAAGCAGGACAAAGTCTGAGCCAGTGGAAAAGCTCATTACAAAAAAAGTGTGTTATTGCTGTGGTGTGCATGGTTTGCAGAGATTAAGTAATTAAGTACATTTTCTCTGTCTCTACTGATTACTGTATATAGAGAATGGTATAAATATACATTTTTTGTCATCATCATGTAAATCCCACGATTTCAAACTGTAAACATCTGTTCAGTGGTGTAGCTTTACAAACCGTTCACTGATTTTGTGTAATTTAACAATAGATGTGAAATAAAGTTTCAATTGCAAGCTTTGAGCAATTTCATGATTTCAAGGTTTACAGCCACTAGACACTGTGACATCATAAGCAAACCAGAGCTGGAATCTTTTCTAAGACAGTGCTTTTCTTTACACTTAACTGCAAAGTATGAAAATGAGACAGTCCATTCTAACTGTTAATGCTGAAATGCCCTTAATTCGGGATGCTTCTTCCTTGGAGGCCATGATTTGAGTAAAACAAAATTGTTCATGAAATACGAGGTTTGCTATGCAAATGAAATCTACCCCCGTTTTAATTTAAAGGTTATTATAATAGGTGCATTCATATGTGGTAGGAGAAATACTCTTAATTGCCTACCTCCTCCTTTTGACCACAAGAAAAATGTTAAAGGTAACATTTTGGCTTTGACCACAGTTTGCTCTAATTATATTCAGCATTCACATTTCCCTCCAAATCTTTGGAGTTAGAGCTATGAATAGGGATGATTTGTGCTAGCTCTTTCTCAAAGAGAATTTAAATAACCATTCCAAGGGATTAGAGAGACAAAATCTGCAGGTTTGGGCAGTTGTTAGTATCTTCTGCTTATAAACTCTTCTTGGGAGGTTTTTCATTGAACAGTAACCAGGAGACCAGACCTGGGACATAACTCAGTTGTAGAATGCTTAACATGCATAAGTCCCTGGATTCCAACCCTAGCACCACAGAAAAATGTTCAACTAAAGTTCTCCAGTATATGAAGGCTCCCATGCTACCTGGGAATGGGGTATCCGAAGGCCTAAAATATGAACTACTTAGCACATTAGTTGCTTTGTATTGCTATGATTAAAAAAAATAAAAGCAAAGCATTTAGAAGGAAGAGTTGACTGTGACATATAGTTCAGAGGATAAGAGTCTATCATGGTGGACAGGCATGACAGCACACAAGAGGCATGAGAGCCAAAGCAGGAAGCCGAGAGCACACCTTCAATGGCAAGCAAGGAGCAGAGAGAGCAAACTAGAAATGGTGGGAGACTTCTAATCTTAAAACTTTCCTCCAATGACATACTTCCTCCAGCAAGGCCACATCACCTATACCTACCCAAAATAATGCCACCAACTCGGGACCAAGGGCTCAAATACAGTAAACCATGGGGGGCATTCGTCTTTAAACTACAGCACTTAGTCAATAAAGGTTAGCTCCATTTTTCTCTTGCGGGGTATGGATACCACTGAAGAGCAGGGTATACTCACTGAAGTGCAAAACAGGCAGGTCTCTGTACTATATGTAGCTTCAAGGCACCAAGGAAATGGTGTCCTGAGAAAATGGGCTATTTGAGCCTGGAGGATAGCTGAAATTGAAGAAATGATGGAGTGACCTAGTACCCAAGGCTTGAGATGTTCCCTGACTGTTAGTTACATTTCCCGTGACTGTGACCTTAAAGGTGCCGTGTAAAGGAGGGCGAACATTCTCTTGATTCGTGGTTTGAGGTTAGAGTCCTTCATGGTGGCAGGGCTGGGAGAGTACACAACCAGGAAATGGAGATGGGCCACAGCAGGGGCCAGGCTATAAACCTCAAGGTCCACGGGACAGCTACTCACATCCTCAGCTGGGCTGATCCTCTCAAATATCACACAGTATCCAAAAACAACACCAGGAGCCACAGACCAAGTGGCCTAGCACCTGAGTCCGGGGGACATTTCACATTCAAACTGCCATACCTTCAGACTTATAACAAAATAGGATCCAGGTGGAGTTGAAAGGGAGAATCATTTCCTTTCATGGGGTGAAAATAAGGCAAAAGCATGGTGCCTCAGGATTGGAACAAGAGAACTATGAGATACTCCTGGCTGCCAATGTGCATACATTCCATTGCTTTCTGGCATTGTCCTTATGACATGGCTCCTGAAACTAATATGGGAAGGGAAAGTATACTGTAGCAGTGAGCCAGAATTTTCATCTCTCTTTTCCTCATAGAGGATTGAACTAAACAAAGACAGAATGTTTATAGAGAATACTAACAAAAACCAAGGATAGGTTGACTCCTCAGGTTACCATCAGGACCTCGTATTTTCGATCATTTACAGGGGAAGGAGGAAACATCTTGACACTTCTCTCAAGGGATTTGACTTTAGACACAAACATGGCAGCATGCAGCCCTCAGATTTTCACAGATACTCAAAGCCCCAAGAACTTGAGAAGTTTAAGTGATGCTGGAATGTAGCTCGACCACTTGTTTGTTTTCTATGGCTGCTTCTGACCTACAGCAGCAGGAGTCCCTCAAATGGAGCTCTGGGGCCAAAAACATTTGTTTCCTTACCCCTTGGACAAGAAGGTGATTGACCTTGGAGTTACAGAGCAAGCCCACATTCCCTATGTATTGAAATCCTAGCAAAGTTTCCCAGAGTCTAAGAGGATGGTGACGTGACACAAATGCCATACTTCTTAAGTACACCACACCCCAAGCTGGAGTGACTCAGGAGAGTGGGGAGAGACTGATCTTTACTCTCACATCTGAACACATTGAAGGCAAGTGCTGTGTCAAGGAGTATGAACAAAAACTTCATTTGTGTCAGATGCTTGAAACATGTTCGCCAGTTTTGAGTGAGGGGAGGGAGATTAGTTTGAACATGGGCTTGTAAGAATTAAACTATATATAAGTAGGCAAAGTAAGCTTAAACAGTGACAACACCACTCAGCCAAAGGAACTGCACTTCTTTTGGTCCTAATCACACTGAAATTTTTCTCTCCCATCTCTTCCGTTCTTCTCCCCTCCATCATTTTCTCTTCTACCCTTCCCTGTTCTCTTCTTTCATTTTCCTCCCTTCTTTTCTTTATGTTGCTGGCAGTTTCTCTTGTCCCACTGCCACTTAATTATTAAACTGTTGGCTGAGGGCTAGCTCTCTCTAAATTATTAATATCTGTTAATCTGTGTATTGCCACGAGGTTGTGGTTTACCCGTAATCTGGCATGTTTCTCCTTCAGCAGCATGATATCTCCACTTTCTCAACTATAAATAATATTCATAAAATGATGGAAATCAGTTTGTCCTCACTCTTACTCAATCCCCTTTCATGAAACTCACTCATGTCTCATGGCTTTCCTTCCCAACTGAGTCTATAGTGGATGGATTCCCCTCACCCTGAACACTGACTGCTGTAGATTTTATAGATTGAGAACAAGGGTTTTAGCCACATACTATCTGGGTTTGGTCCCGGGTCCCAACCTCTCCACCGAATACCAACCGTAATGGAGAAAGCAATAGCCAACACTTCAGCAATTCCTTGTGTGAATTGGAGTAACTTTCTACAACACATTTGATGGGAGATGCCATTATGTATATATGTTTCTCATACTGGTTAATGAATAAAGCACTGTTGGCCAATAGGAAAGGAAGGTAGGAGGTACTAGGAGACAAGGAGGAAAGAGGAAGTAGAAAGAAGAGTCAAGATGGAGAGTCTGGAGGAGGCAGAACCGCCAGCCACCTCTCGCTGGTAAGACCACGTGGAAATACATAGAAATGGGTTAATAATTAAGACAGAGCTAGCCGATAAGAAACTAGTAACGGGCCAACAGCATTATATCAAATACAGAGTCTTGGTGTGTTAATTGGGGCTGGCATGGCGGCGGGACAAGACCAGGTGGCGGGAGGAAAAACAGTACTCTTTACACACATTTATGGTAGTAACAGAGATGCAGCAAACCTGATGTGTACTTACCAATAGAGTTTGTATTACAGCCTTTAGCATGAAGGCTAAATGTCTAAGATCAAGATTTGAAAACACTGGGCTGTAAGGTAGCCTGGCAGCACAGCTCTTACCCAGAATGCCCAACAGAGATAGATATTAGGGGGAAAGGTGAAAAATCAGGGAAGCAAAGCTACCAAGCCACTAGAGAGCTCTTACCTCTATCAAGGCTCAGACCAAAGGGGCGATCCTGTTCTCAGAGTGACTGCACACTGAATACACTGCACTCCTGTGAGCACCTGACTTAAATTCCT